CTGCAGCTGGAGCTCAAGCTCTTTGGGGAGACATTTAGCATCCTGAGCGCCTTGGTTTTAGAAATACATATTAAAGGCAGGCTGTTGATCCATAAGTCTGAAAAGAGAGGCATGACAGCATGTGGCCAATGCCTGGTGAAAATTTAGAAGCCAGGGTGGGAAATGGACTGAGTGGTGTGTCTTTTTCTGTGAGTTGGGCTCCAACACCCTCTATGGCTCCATCTTCACCTTGGCTAGTGGAGGCAAAATAAGTTGTGCAGTATGAGCAGAATTATCTAGATTTCCAAAAGATGCGCATGCTCCAAAACTTAGCTTTGTTTGGCACAGAATCTAGGTCACCTTGTCTCACAATGCAGACTCTTATATAGGGTTTGCGAAGTCCAATGCAGAGAAAACCTTTAAGAGTGCAAAAATACCATTCATAAAACTGCATGCCAGTGTCTTATTCTCTACCCCCCACCCACACATCCCACAGCTCCACCTGTGCAATGAAGACCACAATCCTAAAAAAGCTGTGCTTGTTATAAGCCCGATTTGAACACCCTGGAAGTTACATCTAAGTAAACGTGTAGGATTTTGCTGTCAGACCACAGTTTGCTATATGCAGGAAGCAGGTGTACTGCAGAAGGGCAACTCCAAGGTGCATACTCTAAAAACAGTCTCTAAAAACCACCTGGTTAAAACTGTTTTGCAATTAATCCAAATGAGTGGCATTGCACCGGCATCGTTTTAACAACCAACCATTGAGGATAGGAAATGGATGCTGAGTGTTTGCTGCCCTACACCTCTCTAGGTATCTGCTCCTAATGGCCAGGAGTTTTCTGCATGGTTATTATTCTCCACCCAGAACTCCCAAGGAGAAGGTTCTCTGTGCACGTAGGACAGTGCAGTGTGTTTTTATTTAATACTTTACAGATTTTTGGACCATGGCATGCTCCAAACTGAAAAGCAGTATTTTTGCTGACCTTGTTGGAAGGCTAATGCTGTTTCTGGGAAGTAAACGAAACAGGCAGTTCTTTGTTGGCAAGAGCAGAGAGAGAGAGAGAGAGAGAGAGACTCCCCCCCCCTTCACAATGTCGTGACTAAGTCAAAAGTGTAATGTGGCTGGGTTTTGCTTCTGCAGACATGTGTTTTTCATCAGACAGCTCTGCATGACACTTGACGCTGGCCAGTTCGTAATGAACTATTCTGGGGGTGGGGTGGAGTACCTTTTCTATGGGGGCTAACCCACAACTGTACTTAGACTCTGCCGAGGCCAAAAGAATAAAAACTGCGCCAGCCATTTAACAAATGCGTCATTGACGTTTTACACCTGTGCTGATGGGTGTCTCCTCCGCCTGTAGCCTCTGCTTTGCGTATATCCAGCAAATAAATCGCCCCTTTCCGCTGCCAAAGGACCATTCTTGCTAATAGTTGTTAACCCTGCTCTGTGGTAAATTTGTCCATTAAGCTTACGAAGAATATAGCAAGGGCCTGTGCGAGGCCTAGTTGGAAAGTAAGCGTAGCTGAGTTTCCCAGTGGACTGAAGAAAAATCATCTTGCTTCAGTTTACAGTGCAAAACGAAAACACATATGGTCACAAATCACACGTTAATCCTGGGACTTAGAGAGGTCAAGGTTGTCTCGTGTGGAGGTGGTTGTGGCCTTGTGATCTCATTTGCGTGCCCTTACCGGTGGGGCTAAATGCCTTTGAATGCTCAGGTTCAGCTTACTTTTCCTTCCTCCACTCCTCCATTGTCCAAGTAGGATTTGAATCCTAAAGCTGGGCTTTTTGCAATAAGGAAGGTGATGAGAAAACACACTGGAAAGGGTCCGTACATTGTGCAACCCTCCCTGCGAATCAATGGGAACGAATGCCTGATAAATAGCCACCGTTGTCTGACTTCCCCACAAGCTTTGTGTAAGCAAGTCAGAACGAATGCTAAATAAATAGCTTATCTGGAAGTGGCCCAAGTGAGGTCGCTTTCCAGCTGGTGCCAAATGAGATCACTTCCCTGTTTCTTTTCCTTGCTCATGAGTCAGGGGGCCAGGAAGGTCAGAGGCAGTTAATGCTTCTGAAAACCAGTTGCTGGAAGTCACAGGAAGGAAGGTGCTCTTGTGCTTGGGTCCTCATTGCTGGTTTCCAACCGGCACCTGGTTAGCCACTGTGAGAACAGGATGCTGGACAAGATGGGCCACTGTGACTGGCCTGATCCTGCAGGATCTCCTGACGTTCTTAAAATACGCTTGAAACTCATGGGGCTTTTGAGCCCCTGTAAGTCTCAAATTGGGTTTAAAGCCATCTGTGCTGCTTCATAGCCAGCAAGAAACAAGGGCAAAAATGTGGGCAGATTTGCTGAATGCACCAGACTTCCCACAGTATGAATGGTGGGTCCTGCCCTGAGGACGATTTCCACCTCATAGCCTGTGGAAAGGCAAGGGGAGGACATTGGTAGCCAGCCAGCGAGATGCCCTCCATCATCTAACAATTTGCCGTGCCGGCTGTGGCTCATGGGAGTTGTAGTTCGACATCTGGAGAGACCATGTTGGATATCCCTGCAGTACACATATGGTGTCACACAGAGTGTATCTGGGCCATTTCATAATAAGGCACACATCTGTGGGTTGTGCGGAAATGTGGCCCTTTTTTAAAAAAGAAGAAGAAGGCTGTTCTCACTGCATGAAGGCCTCAACTGCTCTCTGCTCCTTCCAGGTGGAATGATTATCAGAGGGAACACTCTGCTGTTCATTATTAGCAGCACTGCTTCAGCCAATTGCTCCTGGGGCAATGTCTGAGCTGCTGCAAAAATAGGATACCCAGTGGTAAGAAAACTCACGAATGGTTGCTTTCGAGGGGTAATATTTGCATCTCGTCTGTCCTCGGAAGGTGATCAGGGTGGCTCATATCAGATGGTCTATCCTGGTTGTGGCTTAGCTTAAGAAACTGAATTGCACTGGGTGACTTCAGACCGCTCTCGTGTCCCACAGTTCTGTTACAGAAACCAGCCAAATATCCCACACTTTAAGCTAAATTTTAAAACCGCGCCAAATCTTTCACAGTAGGCAGATAGAGAGGGATCTGCAGCTGTTACAACTGATGTCTCTGATGGCTCTGGAAATTGACCAGTCTAAACTTACCTTTTAACACGAGTGGGTGGGGAATAGTAGGATACCTAAGGAATTGCTGACATTACTGAAAAGGAATTGGTATGGCATACCAGCAGTTTGTCAAACGCACTATTCTGCTATTCATGCAGTTTGCATGCTGTAATCGCAGATGGGCAGATTTTCACCGACTGCAACCCAAAGTAAACCTTGTAGAGGCTATTTGGAGGGGAAGGCGCTCTTTGTTCAGGTGGTATAGACAAGTTTCTCGGGGGAAAGTTGGCAAGAGTCAGCCACAGAGCTTTCCTTTCTTTTGCTTTGCTTCCTTTTCTTCTTTTGTTATTTGTGAAAGCCCTATAGATTCCGAGTCTCTTCCTCACTCCACGTTCATTATTGTTTTACCCACTTTGATATGTCAGCTGTAAGAGAGATTAAACAGAAACATTGGAAAGATGTCTAGCTTTCTCCAACACACTTAGTTTACCTGTCGCCTGCTGGTATGGATGCCTATGTTTCCATTCTCTGCTTGTTCTCCTTGAACCTCCTAACTCTTGCAATCTGTCCTCTGTTCTTTCTGCCTGTTCTGCTTACTGCTACCACCCACCAAGCAAGCCCATCAGCCAGGTGTCTACAAACTCAGTTGCCTGGATTGCTCAGTTGGCTAGAGCGTGGTGCTGATAATACCAAGGTTGCAAGTTCAGTCCCTGTATGGGGCAGCTGCATATTCCTGCATTGCAGGGGATTGGACTTAGATGGTCCTTAAGATCCCTTCCAACTCTGAAATTCTGTGATTGCATTTTGCTGAAGACACACCCCCCTACCTGCAAGGCTGTTGTTCTTATGTTGCGGTTGGATCTAAGAGGCAGCTGAGCATGAAAGGGGAGCATGGAGGACCTCAGAAAGGGGCATTCCTGAGCTCTGAGAGCAAAATATGTTCAGTTTTTTTTTTATTATTATTATTATTAATAATAATAATAATAATAATATCTTTATTGTCATTGCCCCCTCTCGGGGACAACGAAATTATTAAACTATTAAATTAGGAGTTCTTGAACACTGTGGGTTTTTGGCTTGGACATTGTTCGTCAGATTTAATTAACCACTTTGGGGGACTTTCAATTAAAAGACCGAGTCACTTAAGTTTGTGGTGATTGTAACACCCCGCTGAAAACTCGTCAATGACTTTTAATACGGCTTTCACAAAGCGTTGGCTTTCAACGTGGTTTGAAGTCGTAGTTCAGTTATGAATCCGAAGGGATAGCTCGGGGCAAATCCACTGGCACTGATCCACCAAGTTAAACCATGAAACTCACTCCCACAGGAGGCAGCGATGGTCTCAGCAACTTGGAGGGCTGTAAAGGACAAATTCATGGAGCATAAGGCTATCAATGGCTACTTGCCACGATGGCTATGCTCAGCCTCCGCTGTCAGATACAGTGATGCTTCCGAACATCAGTTTCTGGAAACCACAGGAGGACAACTGTGCTCTTGAGGTCAGATCCTGCTTGCCATCCACTGGCATCTGGGTGAGAACAGGATGTTGGGCTGGATGGGCTATTGGCCTGATCCAGGAAACCATTCTTCTGTTCCTATCTTCAGAACAATGCATGGGGAAGTGTCACTCATACAGTAGTAAGGACCTGTCAGTGTTGTTCCAAAGCTGCAGATTTTAAAACAGCTGCATTGCTTTCCAGCGTGTTTCTGGGCCAAATTCAAAGTGTTAACACTGGTGTTTAACAGCCTAGAAGGGGGTCGTATGCTGAAGACATACCTCTTTGCCTTGGCCTGTAATTTATTTTGGACTGTTTTTAAAGCTGTAATTAATACTCTGTTGAAGGGCAGGTGCTAATAATAATAATAATAATAATAATAATAATAATCTACAAATAATTTTCTAAACTGTGTTTTCTCCTTAGTAATGAATCACCAGCACCAACCGCAAATGACACCCAGTACAACTATATCCCAGCAGAACCACCCTACCCCAAACCCTCAAGCCGCCTTATTGAACATACCGAATGCCTTGACTTCCCAGCAGCAGCAGCAACAGAAGCTGAGGCTTCAGAGGATCCAGATGGAACGAGAGAGGATTCGCATGCGCCAGGAGGAACTCATGCGTCAGGTATTGCTATTTTTTTAGGCAAACCCTGTTAGTGCTGTTGGATCTTTGGAAGATTAAAGAGGTCCTGGTTTGGGTGTTCACTCCTTCACACAGTGAGGGAGCATGCATACTTGTTCCTAGCTTCTCCAAATGGCGTATGAACAGACTCAGAGGAAGGAAGGGGGCAGGATGTATATGGGGCACTAATATTCCCATGTGCTTTGCTCCTATTGGTGGCTAGTGCCCACATGACCATCACATGGAGAGCCTCCCTGTGACAAAGGCTACAAATACTCCCAAGGGCTAGTTCTTAAGTCTGTTTCAGCAGTTTGCGGCCAGCTGTGAATCTGATGTCATTTTGCATTTACAGATATCTTAGACTTAATGTCATTAGCAATTATACACTGCCTGGAGACTTTTCTCATCATGTATGTGTTGCACAATTTTGGACATCACTTAAGATTTGGCTTTTATAATGCCTCACATCTGGTTCTTCCTTTACATGGCTTTAAGGAATTATTATTATTATTATTATTATTATTATTATTAACTAAACTTGTATATAGCCCTATACCCACAGGTCCTAGGGCGGTTCACAAGATAAAATCACGACATAAAAACACGAAATACATAAAGGAAGAAAGCATTCTGAACCAAAGAATGCTTTTCACAAACTGGGGAGCAGCTCCCTTTAGAAGATACTGTATTTTGCCCCAAATATTAATCAGTTTCCCTAGCTAACACAATTAACCACTTACTCCAAGGAGCAATGTGGGTAGGAATTAATTATAGTCCAGTTTTATGAAGGCAATTTCGGCATTCAGTGCAAGTTTTCTGCATATGTTCTTCAGTGCTTTATTTCCCTGCAGTTCCACAGGTCCATTTCTAAGAATGAATGGATGCCAACTGTAAATACACAGTATTAGATAAGCTTGGCAGTTTCAAAGTTTTTAGCTTTGCTTACTAAATACAAGCAAAATAATAAACGTAAGAATTTAGATCACTCTCTTGGGCAAGGGTGAAGATCTACAGCTTCCAACAACCAGCTAGCATGCCCAGTGCCTAACGATGATTGCAGTTGCAGTTGAGTAACATCTGGAGGGCCAAGCCAAATTGTCCTATTTGCATAGGCAAAACATTCTGGAAAATTTTTTCGATTCTTTTTTTTAAATCGAAAACCCACATTGCTGCCTGCCCTAACAGCATACGCAGTTAAGCGAAGTTACAAACACATCACACCAATTCCCCATGGTGATCTGTCTACACTTTAAAAAACCCAGCTTAGGTTGCTATTCTGTGCTCATTTTCTTAGGAGCTCATCCTAATGAACTCGACAGGGTTTATTTCCGGGTAAATATGCATTGGACTGGGATGCAAAAGATCTAGAATGGGGGTGGGACTGGAATTCTCCTGCCTACAGTGTCCTTTTGCCTTTGGGATTTCTGCCTTAACCCCCTTTGGCTATTCCAGGGTAACATTTGTTTATACTGTATTTAGTAAGGCGGTATCAAATTTCTTGGCAGCCAACAGAGGTATGGTTTCTATTTGTGCAGCGACACCAGTTGGCATGTCGCTTCTGGCGGGTTATTAACGCTCCGTCAGATGTACCAAGGATGCCACTGACTCTATCAGGACATATCAAAGCGTGGGCTGCAAAATCCCCTCCCCCGCACAGCCCCATCTTTTTTGCTTTTAAAATAACTAGCCCAAGATATATGTAGCTGTTTATGTCAAATCTCCCTCATCGGAAAGCTGTGTCCATTCAAAGGCCAATAATAGTAAAATGAAATATAAAAATGGATTCCGTTTTATCTTCATTGACATGAATGCAAGCTGGCGGCGTTAGGTTCTTCTGTAGGCAGTTATCCCAATGGAGCGGCTTTCTCAGTCTTTTTGTTGTTGTTGAGAAGTTAACTGCTCCTGATCAGTTTACACTGAGCCTCTCTTACATTTTGATATAAACGTCTTCTTTGTTTATGAAATTATGCACAAGATGGCAAAAAGGATGCAGGGCATAGTCTCTAACCGGGTACCCTTCATATCAGCGTTTGAAATTCTCCAGGCGCATTTTGTTCCTGGCTTCCGGCCACTTGCGACCAAGTGAAGATACCTGGGCACCAGGATGGCGCCAGACGTCTCCACCATCTGGAGGAGCATGCCTGGGAATCATTGGGTCTTGACTGTTTTCACACGCTAGCAACGCATCCCGTAGAAGTCCATCCAATATATTTTATCTGCACAATCAGAATGAATTTCAGGAACCAAAAAGTCGTACCTTGGAAGTCGAACGGAATCTGTTCCGGGAGTCCGTTTGATTTCCAAAACATTTGGGAACCAAGGCACGGCTTCTAATTGGAAGCCGCAAAAGTTGCAACGGACATTCGGGTTCCAAAGAACATTCACAAACTGGAACAATCACTTCCGGGTTTGTGGCGTTTGGGAGCTGAAACGCTCGTCTTGCAAGGCATTCAAGTTCCAAGGCACGAGTGTATTGAAAAATACAACTTTGGAGCCATCTGGCCCCAAAATGGCAAGTTTTGGTTGTTGTAACCATGGTTTATGGAGCATACGGCTTGCCCCAGAGAACACCGGGAACTGTTGTTTATGCCTCCCAGAGCCACAGTTTCCAGTGCACTGAACAAGCTACAGTTCCCAGAATGCTTTGGGGGAAGCTGTGTACTTTAAATGCATGGCAGGGATGTGACTTCGGAAGGCTTAGATTATTGGCTCAGCAAGACTGCTTCCAGTAACCCAGCATTGTGTTTCTTTGTTACTCCCTGGTCTGTGCCGCGTTCAGTCGCTTGTTGGATGGAGACCCCGCTTTTGCACCCTGAAAAATCCTTAGCCGAGCCGTGCAAGGCAAGTCACTTGGTCTTGGGAGGACGGAGCTGTTCAAACCTTATGAGCTCTGCCGTGTCGCAGTTGTGCGTGCTAATTTTAATGAGGAGCAGATTTTTCTTTGCCCCCGCCAGCAGCTTTAAAAAAAGAAATTGTGGTGCAATCCTTGGCCCGCAGCCTTTAATCAGCAGGAACTTTTATGAACTTCCTGTCTGCAGTCTGGGCGGTACTGATGGTCGACTCAAGGTAGCAGACCCCACCCAACTGCCTGAATCCTTTACTGTTGCCTTTTCTTTTCATAGAATCATAGTATTATGCAACCCATTTAAGGGGAGGAAAAATGATGTGTGTTGGGGGGCGGGCGGGTGGGCTGGCTGCTAGGCGACTGAAAGGGGGGAAAGGGTTTGGGTGAAAGGGAGTGGAATTATTTCTCCTCCAGTACCGAGTCCCCAACTTGACAGCAGCTGCTGTTGCCTGGCTATTTTACAGCAGGCTTGCTCTGCAGAAATTTCCGACTCGGCAGCTGCCCTGCCTGGAGAGATACGCCCAGCAGCTCTCCAGAGCTGATGGGGTTTCTCCTTCCCCATATCCCGCTTCAGTTTTAGAAGGTTGGGACGATGTTTGATCACTAATCACTTAATTGTTAAACTATGGAATTTGTTTCCACCGAAGAGCAGTGACCGCCCCCAACTTGGATGGCATTAAAAGAGGATCGCACAAATTCACAGAGGAGAAGGGAAGTCTGCTAGCCACAGTGGCTATGGTTTACCTCCCCTGTCGGAGACAGTATGCCTTGGAATGCCCGCTGGCTGGGAGTAGGGCACTGCTTTGCTCAGGTCTTGTTTGCAGGGTTGCCATAGGCATTTGGTTGGCCACTGTGAGAACAGGATGTTGGGACTAGGTGGCCCGCTGACCTGACCTCTCGGTCTCTTCATATGTGTTCAAGTAGCATTTCCCAAACTTGGGTCTCCGCTGTTTTTTTGGACTACAATTCCCATTATCCCTGACCACTGGTCCTGCTAGCTAAGGGTGATGGGAGTTGTAGTTCAAAAACAAGTTTGGGAAACCCTGTCAGCTAAAGAGGTTTGGTGAGCTGAGAGAGCTGCCTTAGTTTCGTCAGTTAGCATGTGATTCATATTTCATGTGCACAGTTGTAACTTAATTTGATTTCTGCGCTCCCCCCCCATCTGTTTCGGAAATGAACAGTGTCATCCCATGAACGTCTACCCTGAATTTTAAGACTTGTTCCATGGGGTTTACTCCCTAGTAAGTACATTGAGGACAGCAGCCAATATGATCTAAAATGGGCAAACGGGCTTCGAACAGTTTCCTTGATGAAGCTCACAATGCGAAGAGCGTCTGCTTCCTTTGCATGCCAAAGATCTCAGGTGTGATTCCCAGAATGCCCCCTGCTTGAAGCCCTGGAGAGTCCCTGCCAACCAGTGTGGACAATACTGAGCTCGATGGACCAATGGTCTGGCTCAGTATAAGGCAGCTTCCTATGTTCTTAGATCGTCATCATGCTCTTAGTTCTTAGATCTCACCATGCAGTCCTAAGGCTGGAGTAAATCAGAAGGATGGCTTAACCACCCAGCCAAAACCCATCAGGGCTTCTAATATTAAATGACTTTCCCCCTCCCATTAGGAGCAATGAGAGGGAAATTTGAGGGAGACATTCAGATCAGCTCCTCCGCTGGTATAATTTTTGCCCCAGATCAGTGGTGGTAATGGTGGGGTGTTGCTGGACCATAAATATTTTGCATCCTTTGGCTCCAATCAGTTTCCCAATACTACCCTGACAATCCACACCACCACCACTTTCATCTGTACACCTATCGCAGCTCCAACGTCGGCTGGGTCAGAGCATCAAATATTTTTGTAGTAGCAGGCAAGGGGGAATCTGGCATCCAGTCTCTCTTTCTCTGGCATCAAAGATCTGGTTTATCTTAGGGCTCCCAAGATCCTGTCCAGGGACTGTAGGATTGCAGCATAAGAATGGTTTGCAGTTAAAGCACATACCCTCACAAAAAAGAATCCTGGGGACTGTAGTTTACTTCATAACAGAGCAGCAGTTCCCAGCACCCCATGCAAACTACACCTCCCAGCATTCTTTGGGGTAAGCCATTTGCTATAAATGTGCGCTGAATGAGTTTCAGATGTATGGTGTGGGTGTGACTTAGAGT